GATATAATAATTCTGGAAATTTTGTTTTTTTATTTGTGGCTTCTAGGGCTAAACACTTTTTTTTTTCGTAAAACTTTTTTCGGAGTAGAGCAATTCACTCCTTCAACAAAAAGCCGCTTTGATCTAAATTAATATATACATTAGACAAAAGATAACACAGAAACTTTCTGAGAACTATAATAGTCTAATATGATTCCAAATTTTATCGAACCGATATGATTCCAAGTGTTTAAAACGCTAGCTTCCATCTAGTATATTTGTCATTTTCCATTTCTACAGTAAAAACCGATTTTTTCGCTAAAAAACGGTTTTCGAATTTCATAATTTTCGTCAAAAAACTGGTTTTCAAACCGGTTTTTGAAAACCGACAAACCCTAATATATATATATATATATATATATATATATATGCCAATGTTTGGACAATGCCTAATCAAAATCTTCCTCCTGAAGCCCCTTCATTCACTCATTGTGTATTCATATTTGTAATTAGCAACAAGTAACAAACTATATTATTACCCTTGAGATTCGTTGGGGGTGGGGGCCCCCCGTCGGGTGGTAGAAATTTAATAAAGCGACCACCCCCGATATAAATGATACATTTTGCTTAAGTTTGTGCTTACTCAAGGTCTTGTTCAAACAATTTAAGGTTGATTGCAAACGAAAGGCCCCTTATTTGTAGTGTCTGTTAATGCTTTATTAAACATTCCGCGATAATGTTTGGATTAGATTTTAATTGGAATATTGTGAACACTGTTTTGGAAATGATTATATTAAATGGTGTGGGATTATTTATATATTAATCACAATGTGGGATTATTTATATATTAATCACAATGTGAGATTATTTATATATTAATCACATCAACTACATAGTTATTATAGAAACAAATTATGGTAGATTTAGATAGATATTATTTATATGTTACTTAAGTAACAATATTTTATTTTATCATTTATTATTAACTTCCCGTAGGGTAGTTATAGTAATAGACCGAAAATCGAAAATGGAAATTTTTGCATTTCTCACGTTTTGAAGGTTTCTGAACATTTTGGCATACCTCAGAAAAAATGGATGTGTGTGTGTGTTTTGCGTGTCCGAATTTTTTGGTTCACGTTTTCGGATCAACCGATTTGAATGGTTCAAAAAACATTCGATTCCTATTGATAAAGAGATGTGCTGATTAGTTTTTGGGAAAGGCAAGTCCAGCCGTTACGGAGATAAAGAGCAAAGAGTGCAGAAAATAGAAATCGAGTTTTTAAGAGAACGGAGGATCCGATTTGAATCATCTAAAAAACATTCAATTTGTAATGATTGGGAGAAGTGGTAACTAGTTTTTGGCAAAGGCAGGACTAGCCATTTAGAAGATACAGAGCTAAATGTACAAAAAATGGCAGTTTTTAAGAGAAATAAGCATCCGATTTGAATGATTCAAAAAACGTTTTGCTCATTTTGCTCATTTTGCTTTGGGAAAAAAAAATTATTTTTTATTTTTCAAAAAAAATAATTTTTTTTTGAATATCGAAAATAATTCAGATTTCAATTTTAATTCTGGTAATTTAAACTTACTTATATACTTTAAACAAATAATTTCATCTTTGCAATTCAGTTTATATAATTCTTATAAATATTAGACAATGTTATAGTATTTATAATAATCGTTCGTTATGGTACGGGAAGTTCTAGCAATTTGCTAGAATAGCGATGCCATACACCACTAGTTGTTATTAATTTTAAGTGAACAAGGGGTAAAATCTAATACTTATTGGTTTAGGGACGTTCGATTGGACCAATCAGAGCATTCCAATTGGAAACTAATATCATGTTTTCTATTGTATGGAGACTTTCTTATAAGAATCAAACTGTCATTGATTCAATCTTGTGATTTATTTATTTAATATCTGCAATCATATTTTTATATACAATCTATAAAAATAGTGATACTTATATTTATTTACACTGAATATTAATATTTAGGATTGAAATCCTCTTTGATAATCAATGTCTTGTGAATTTATTTTTATTATTGTCAGTTTAGTTGTGATATTGGTGCTATTGCCTTATTAATAATAATGATCACATAAATGTTTTTTAGTGACTATAATATTGACTGAAGATTTCCTTGCTGAATCTTTCTGGATAAATTAAAAGTTTGGGCTTAAGTGTGAGTATAGTAATAGTATATTACTATGCTATTTATAAGTATTTAAGATTCGTTTCACTCATAATACAAAATTCTGAATTCTATTCTTCATCATGTCTTTTACAAGTCTATATTTATAGTAAATTTTACTTCCAGTTTGTAATTACATATTTAGAATCTGAATTGATCAAAACAATAATTTATAGGTATTTAAAGATTCGTTTCACTCATAATACAAAATTCTGAATTCTATTCTTCATCATGTCTTTTACAAGTCTATATTTATAGTAAATTTTACTTCAAGTTTGCAATTACATATTTAGAATGTGAATTGATCAAAACAATAATTAGAGAAATGGCAACTACGGTTATGCAATGGTCTAAGAAACTTTGTTTCTTCTGAAGAAAACGATTTTATATTTTTTTTTTTGTAAAATTTAGTTTATAAAAAACAGAAGTTTAGATAAAGTGCAATAATTGTTTTAATTAATTATATATTACGATTTTGTGATGATACAAAAATATATTTAATCTATTTATTATTTTTCATTCATTAGAATCATTTGTACTTCTGCTCCAATTCTCCTACTAATGTAACATAGGCTTCTTTGGCAGCCTCTGAACTCATCCCTTTTTTCTCTGACCAGTACTGCCACTTGGCTTTGGCTTTCAGGTCAAACATACCTGGTTTACCTGGAAAAAGATATAAAAATATTATTATTAATTTTGTAAAGCCGGCCACAGACGTAACTGTATACTTGCGCAACTGAATAAATGCGCAACCAGGCGTATTTTCACAGCGCCCACAGACGGTTCAAGTTTATGTTCAAGTACTTGCGCAAGCATATCACAAATGTCAAATAATAAATGTCAAAACATAACCTAAAAATATATCTTTTTTATTAATTTATGTATTTACAGCATCAGAAGAGCATCCAAAGTGTTCAGAGGGCTAATTTAATAACTTTTAATTGTCGATAACTTCATAAACTTGTATTATGAATTTGCTACAAAGTAAAACAAAAACGGGACATGTGCTGCCACACGCGGCCAACGAATAAACTTGCCGACTTGAATGGTTGCGCAATTAAAATAATGAAAAAGTGCTCATGCCTACTCGCTTGCACCAGTCTGTCAAGTTGCGCAAAAAACACGCCACAGACGCTACAGAACACATGTGCAAGTCGCAGGTTGCGCAAGTATACAGTTACGTCTGTGGCCGGCTTAACGGAAACGTTTGTTTTCGATTTGCTAATATTATGCTTTTTCTTGATCTTTGAAGTCATACTGAATGGTTTAACATGAATTTTGGGAAAATTATGTGAGTATATATGAGTCAGAGTTTGACTTTTCATCGACTGCACTGATTTGAAAATTTCAAAAGCCATTCGAGGCAACTAGATGGTTACATCTGGTACAATACAAGAGTTTTTCACATTATAGTGCCCTCACTCACAAATTTAATATATTGATTTCTTCAAGGCACAATGACTTACTTTAAATTTACTTATTAATCAAAGCTCTTATTTCAAACTAGAATGTATACAATAACCCAGTAGCGGCGCTAGGCGTCGGCGGTGTCGGCGGCCATTTTAATTATTTAAAATTTAGTTAATTTTCATACGGATGTGCGAGTAAAGAAGGTGTTTAGTGGTTTACAGGCACTATCATTTTTCTCTTTTATCATTTATGGACATTATCTAATATCGTCTGTCAACACTATAGATTATTAAATCCAAACAACTTCTCGCAAGCTAATTTTCTGGTTGTTTATATATTTGTGTATTTCTTATGTGAGCACAATGTAAATCATCGTTCTTTTTGGAAATACATACGAGTGGGAATCTTAACATATCGAAACAGTAATTAAATATTCGAGGAATAAAAGTAATCAATGATCAATAAAAATTGATCAATGAGAAATAACAATGAGATAATAACAAAAACTGTTAATTTGAAACTAATCATTGTTTCACACCGTCAACACAAGCAATATATTTTTTTGAACATTCTATTGGGATGATCAGTTCTTTCAAATAAAATTGATAACCTTTTAAACTTTTTTTGTATCTCCGAAACCGCTGAACCTGCCTTTGACAATTTATCAACACGAATCGAATGTTTTTTAAATCCTTTAAAACGGTTGATCCGCTCTTATATCGTCGACAAAAAATTAAAGCGTCTTAAAAAAACGACATTTTGACATTTCTGAACCAATTTTAAAAATTCAAAAACTGATCGAAAGTTTTCAGTTAGCGATCGTGCTGAATTGTTTTTCGTCAAGATCGACCGCACAGTTTCTTCGTAATTTATTGTAAAAATCTTTTTTCAAAAAAAACCTGTTAGTCTCATCTAACATAAATTTTATGGAACTACGATAAATGATTAATTATAAAAACTCATTAAATTTTAGAATAATGGGACGAGCTTTTAGACCATGTGCACCTACTATGTGATGTGCGGATTTGTGCACTCAAATTAGTATGAACATAGATTTTTTAAATCTAATTAATCACTTGCAGATTGCAAAATTTTGTCTAATTAGTTATTAAGTCGGTGATTTCCAACCATTTTTTATTCATAATGATCGAAAAAACATAAAATTTGCTAATCAAATGGTTGGGCAAAAGTAAACCTTTTCGCGATAATTATTTAATTTTAGTGCTTTTCTAATAGCTGGAGAACAAACCATTTTTGCCGAAGAGTTTGTTTATTTTAACTTGTGTAATTTTTGTCTATTTCAATTAAAAATAAATCTCATATACAGTTATAGTACTCGCAAAAAAATCTAAAACAAAAATTTTTATATATCTTCAAAGATTTCTGAACACTTTGGCAAATTTTCGTCGACGATTTCGCGAACATGGACCAACCAATTTGAAAAATTCAGAAAACATTTGACATGTATTGAAGGTAAGAAGACGTGCTGATTGTTTTTTGGCAAAGGCAGGATAAGCCGTTTTGAAGATACGGGGCAAAAAGTGCTAAACTGATTACATTTTTAGGAAGGCAGGTCTAGCGGTTTTGGAAATCCAGTAAAAAAGCACAACAAAAGCCATTTGGGATATGCACATCAAATGATCAGATATTTTATAAAGATTTTAATTAATAGTGAGTTAAATTAGACTGCAACGCGGCGTTTACGCGCTTCGATATTTCGTCTCTAAGCAGCTAAAGCAACGTGATTGCTATGAAAAAAGTTCGAAATTTTCAACAAAATATTTCAAATTAAAAAAAGTCAATTTCTTTCACTTTTCAAATTTTTTCAAAGCTTTTCAAAAATTTAAATTACGGCACGAAAAGTTTCAGCAATTTGCCTTTAGGCACGATGCCATGTACCACTAGTCAACTTGCAACTGCCAAAAAAGGGGGGCCTCGCAAACGAATTTCGCCGACGCCCACGAATGGTCTAGCGCCGCCACTGCAATAACCAATGAGATAAGGTGGAATGAATATTGCTGAATTTGAAACAAACGATGATCTTAATGGAATAATATATGTTAAATTTTCTTTTACTAACTAGTATTATTGTCTCCAACTGTGGCTTGTTTAAACAAAGCGTACAATTCCAGTAATTCTTGATCGGTGGGTCTGCTCGTGAATTTCTTCACACGTTCAGCAGCATCATTGAAACGCTAAAATAATATAAATAAATCAAATTAGACAATAGAATGGATAGAATAAAATATTTCATTAAACAATGTGTGCATGCAATATATTATATAATTTTCAAATTGTTTTTAACATTGTAAAGCACAAGCGCTTATCATTTTACATAAATGATTTCAGATACAAGAATCTAAACTGATCAATAAAATGATAAACATTCAGTATACTTAACTGAATTATATATTGATTTCAAACATTGATTTAGTGTAAATGAAGTATTTTACTAATTTGATCAAATTGATCATTTTTAATTTATCTTTAACCCTAAATCATATCAGTGTATTCGTGTAATTGTGACAAAAGAAATAAACTTATAAATATTGCAAATTCATACCTCGTCGAGTGACATGTTTGTTGACTTTTTTGTTCAACCTGTAAAAGAAATAAATAAATAATGTAAGTAATATATATATATATATATATATATATATATATATATATAATATATGTTCTATTATTATAGAGTCCGATGACTTTTCAAAATATTAATCAGCAAGTTCCCAAATTATAGAATTATTTAAATACACAATGTGTGTATTCATTATAATTTAAATTTAATTCGAAGATATGCATGCTTAATTGGAAGTTCAAGGTAGATGTTAAAATACTTTGAATTAAGTATGCAAATGCATATTTAATAACAGAAAGGAGGCAATGAAATGATATATGAGAAAACAATGTATATGGAGAAGTGATTAATGATTTTTACAACAAATTCTGATATGACTCGAGTCATACTAGAGCCAGTATTATTAGATCACGAGACTATTAAGAAATTAACGTACAGATTGAGTTTGGTTTCATGAATAATTAAAATTGAAATACTGAACTTTATGAATGTTTTTCTTTTACCTCAGCACAAATCAAAGAAAGATGCTGTTTGGTTGACTCATTTTTGAAGCAAAGATAAAAAAATATATAAGAACCAACAAATAATAGAGAATTATTTATAAAAAAACACATTAAATATAATATAAATTACTATTGAGATCAAAATAATAATCCCTTTTCTCTGACTTGACTTGACATGACTTTCTGGTCAATACGTGTTTCTTTTTTTTTGCTTTAATTATGGTTTCCTTTTAATATTTTTAGTTTTAGAAATATAATTATATTCAACAATTTTATATTAATATTCGTTATCGTGCTTTTTATTTGAATTATAATTCTGAACATATTTCTAATATGCATTGAAAGATTCAAGGATTAAATAAATTTTTAAACATTTAGCTTTATTCAATAATTGTATGTATGAATGAATAACATTTATAATTATGCTTTTCTGGATAGTTTAAGTAAACAAAAATTCAAGAATAGGCATAAAAATACAAACATTTTTCCATAAATTTTACAAACAGTTTAACTTTTATTTTACGAATAATCTACCTAATTTGGAATTTCTAGTCGTTAAATTTAAACCATACACATCTTAAAGTATTATCAATTATAATTTTATAGTGATAGTATAATTAAATTTTTATTGAGTATTTTTTCAATTTCAAGCTTTTAAAGTTAAAGTGGAATTCATTCAATTTTAACATTTCTAAAAATGGTACTTCTAAAAGAGATATTTCGTCTTTGCGAAACTTTGAAATAATTATAAATGAAAAAATGATTTTTTTAGAAAAAAGTGTTCTTAGTGTGAAAAATTATATATATATATATAATGAACACAAGTTTATAAATCCTTTGATAACAACCCAGTATTTTATCTCAATTTGTTGTTTCGATTTAATACCCATGCCAGATCGATATCTTTTTAGCATCACAATATTTATATATATATATATATATATATATATATATATATATATATATTATAGATGCCAATCAAGTATATACTTTGTACTTTAAGCGATTATCTGCTGATTTATGTTAACGCGTGTGTTTCAAATTAACATATATTTATAACAAAAAATAATAAAATGATTCGTTGGGAATTACATAAAATCATGGAAAATAATATTTAGAAATGTTCTAGGATATTTTGTTAGAAGACAATGTTGTAGATTATTTAATTCTATAAAAATGGTTATAATATTGTATTTGAAAACGGTATAACAGATAGAAGAGATATAACAAATTGAAAAATTAGATGTTAATTATAATAATATAAATAAATCTAACATTTGTTTTAATTTTTTAGAAGTTAATAGCATTATTTCTGAATCCTGATGGATTAATAATTTGTTTTTTCTTATATTTACCCTAGTAGAAATGAATCGTGGCGCAATATTGTACTTTTTATGGGCTCTATATTGTTTACCAATATTGCTATAATATTATTCTGTTAACATTTTCCCATATAAATCCAATATTAAAACCAATAAAGGCCCCATATAAAACCAATATTGATAAACAATATTAAAATCCCATTCAAAACCAATATAAGCTCAATATTGAGAACCAATATAAGATTAATATAAATAAACAATATTTACCCTATATAAAAAACCAATATAAGCTCAATATAAATAAACAATATTTACCCCAAATTCATAATTATTATTTAACCCACATTTAAAAATTTTATTTAATTTATATAGAAAAACAGTATTTAACTCATTGATAATAAAAGTTTATTTATTCTAAATGAATACATACATTTTTAAATAGTTTATGTATTGAATCTTGATATCTTTATTAACAATTTACACATTATTTTATGATAACAAGATACAAAACAATCAAAATATTTTCAGTCATTATAATAATTTAGAGGATTTTAATGATAAATTATAATCATAATTTTTGTTAATCCTATCGCCGTAATTGTACAAAGACCAAGCCATTCAAACAATTTGCAGACTTAATTATTATTTCGATGTTTTTTTTATTTTCACACATGTTTTAACATTTTCTTGAATTCGATCATGATTACACCTGAAATAAGATAAAATTTATTAATATTTTATAGCAATATTTTCGAAATATATTGATTTTATAAACTCATAAATTCAATTACTTAGCTTTTAGCAAAAAAACATTTCAGGCATTATTTTGCAGTAAATATAATTGTAGTTTATCTAAAACTCATATTTTCTAGAACTCTATCACAGTCAAATCTGAAATAATTAAAAATACAGTAAATAGAAAATTTTAACATTAATTTAAAACAGCTCAATTATAGTTTCAAATTAAAACAAAAAAACTATTGTTGGAAATACGAATACCAAATATTCAAAAGCGATAATAAGTTATTGAAAAGTCTTCATTTAATAAGTTTGTTAATATTTTTATTACCTTTTACCAAATCCATTCTTGCTATGTGATAGTTTTTATATTACAGCTGATTTTATATCCATTTCAATTTAGTCAATCTAGAATATATAAAATACATCATTGTTTACTAAATATGTATGTTGATTTATATAAGTAATAAATATACTTACGTGCTTTAAATATAAAACTCAAAATTACGTTATTTAACCGCTTAATTTTAATTATAAACTGTTCACAAAATAAGTTTTTAGCAAATTATTATATATTTGATATCATAGATCATTTTATTATTCACTAAATATTCACTCAAAATTCACGAACTAAGACTTACTATATTTTATGAATATTTTTTAATATTATAACAAATTCTAAATTCAACAAAAATTGCTAAACGCACTGCGTAACAAATTTCAGTCTACTGAAAATTACGAAACTCTGCTTGGCTTGCGCTTTGTTTGATGGTGTAGGTGTAGCATTGTTAATCAAAGGGCGGTTTTTATGTTTTTGTATTTTATGTTACGAAGTATACGCTCATTAATTTGTCGTTATTAGTTTATTCAGTGTAGTAGTCATTAAAAAAAACTTTATATATAACAAAGTTTATATATAACTCTTTTTTCATTCATTTCAATATGAGATAGTTAGTAAATTACATAATCTGTGAAACGTTAGTTAGAAAATGTTCAAAACGAAATTAATAAAAACGCCATTAATTATTATTATATCAAATATGTTTATATTTATAAAATTTTAAATATTTAGATTTATTATTGATTTTTTTTCTGAATTATATAAAATAAATTTTATCTTCACAAAACAAAATTAATATTTCACTTATTTTATTCTACGTTTTGGGCTTATGGATTCTTTCCTTCTTCAAGAACTAACCAACAAAATTTTTTATAATCACACTCTTTTCTATGTACACAATAATAAATTTAAAAAAATCTTCGTTTGAATTTAAGTTAATTTTTTAATTAAACTTTTACTCTTAAATAACATTAATATAAATAATAAACTAGTATAGTAATATAAATAATAATTGCTATCAAAAAGATAAAACAAAAGTGCAATGACATAATATTTGTTCATAAAATACGTATAAAATAATTTTGGCCACAACTGACACAGTCAGGTAGAATATTTCGTCGTAGGACAAAGGACACGCATAGAAGAAAGGACTCGCATCGTACACGAAGTGAGATAGTCTTATACAAACATCGGTTATATGAAAGAAAGAAGAGACACTCTTGAGTAGTTTCTCAAAAACAGATGTTCGTACATATATATGGTATGGTCATACATACATGTATATATGATGCAATTTCAGAAATTTTTATTCTATGAATAAATATAAAACGTCTAAATTTATAAATATAAATCGATATATTACTAGCAGATATAACAGATTTAAATAATATTAATACATACCAAACCAGGGTAAAACAAATTTAAGCAAGGCATGTGACTAATCACAAAATTTTATTATTTAACTTTTATTTTATTCGAAGTTTTGTTTTTTTATCAAACATTTTGTTTACATTTTTTTCTCGTTTACTCACATTATTTAAATTTAATATATATATATTCTGATACTTTTGCACTATTATAATCTTGTATAATTTTGTTTTTGTTTTGTTTATTGAATGATGGCCATACTTAAAATATCGTTAAATAATATAGTTAATAAATAAATACAATATAGTTAAATTATTTATTGCTTTTTTAACTTCCCGTAGGGTAGTTATAGTAATGAGACGAATATCGAAAATGAAAATTTTTGCATATCTTCACGTTTAATAATGGATTTAATTAATTTAGCTATTAATTAATTAATTCTCAAAAATATGTTTTTTAAGAGTCACCATAGATGTTTTTGGCGCTAATTTATGATTTAAAATTGATTATTTTCTTGACCAATGTAAATGTTACTTATTTCCCAATGTAAATGTTCGATAATAAAGAAAAAATAAATGTGAATATAATATTTACAATTTATATTGAATTCATATAAAATTTATATCAAACTATTAATTACGATCGAGCTGATCGAGCTATGTATTACCTAAGATATTATCAATGAGTTAAATTCTGTTTTCTATATGAATTAAATAATATTTTTAAATATGGGTTAAAATAATAATTTTGAATT